CTATCAGTCCGTGTACCTCAACTTCCGGAAGAACGAGCAAAAAGCTCCCGAGTTCACCAAGTACAACCCTAATGGCCGTATCCCCGCAATTATCGACCACAGCAACAACGATTTCGTGGTCTGGTATGTCCCTCTCACCTGCTCACGTAGTCTGCTTCGGCAACCCATGTGCTTTAGGGAATCCAATGCCATCATCCAATATATCATCGACAAGTACGATAAGGAGCACAAACTCTCAATCGCACCGGGCACGGACGAGTACTACACGCAGCTTCAATGGTTGTACTTCCAAGCTTCTGGCCAGGGCCCGTACTTCGGCCAGGCGGTCTGGTTTAGCGTAGCCCACCCAGAGAAGGTCGCGAGTGCTCTTGAACGGTACCAAAAGGAAATTAAGCGTGTGTTGGGCGTGCTCGAGAGTGTGCTCTCAAAACAGGAGTGGCTTGTCGGCGGCAGGATGACCGTCGCTGACATTTCCTTCGTCCGGTAAGTGCGTGGTGCTCGCTAATAAGACTTCGATCACCCACACGCACGTGTTGCAGGTGGAACATCGACGCCGCGACGCGCCTCCTGGAGAACTTTGATTTTGAGAAGGAGTTTCCTGCCACCGCCAAGTGGCACAACAAGCTCCTCGAACGGCCCGCCATTAAGAAGGTCTGGGAGGAGCGTGCCAGGTTGGTCGCTCAGCAGCAGTAAGTCGGATATGAGACCGCACAAGTCGCTCTGTCAGACTGAGATATCCAATAAAGTCTGCATCTCAGGCTGGCAATGTACGCTCATTTCTGGACAAGACGACTAGCGTGTCCCCAGGTAGAAAAGTCCTTACTGCCATTGCTGCGTAGCACAGATGCGACCGAGAGCAATCCGAGGCCATGGGTCACACTAAAAGTCAGGTTCGTCGCAGGCGTGTCACGAGGATCGCCTACTCGTTTGTGTGACCGGCCTTGGCTTCCCTCAGCTTTAGAGTACTAGTACTGCTCAATAAAGGGTAACTCCGGCCAGTCCACGTTCGGGAAGCCTGCTAGATCACGAAGTTCGATGGTCAATCTCGGCCCTCCTGAAAGGATATACACGAACCTGGACATCTTCTATGCACTCTTCCCTGTACGGCAACTGAGATGTTCATTTGTTCTTGCCATGAGCCAGGCGGGACACTTCCCGGTTAGGTTCTATGCAGGCCGAGATACAATGCTTGGGCCTACCGCCCTCGTAATACTGTACATGCTCGAGGTCCTTCTTCTATATCCAGCGGTAGCGGCCAGACGCGTTGTTTGGAGCCGCCCACCCTCTGTTGCCATAACGTGCGGGTGTGATTCCCCTTCTGATTAACTGGGATATTCCGAAGAGCAGAAAATATTTTATATCAGGTATATAGAGTGGAGTACGATTAGATCAACCTCATATCAAGAGATGCAGGATGTAGCCAAGGTGGTCGTAAGTGCGCATGTGAGTCGCACGCCTCCCTACCAATGTGAGCGGTAGGTATACGCGACATTTATTGGTGACTGTAATAGTGTCTAATCAAAACCGTCAATCTTGTTCTATGTCGGAGAGGTAGAGAGGTAATCAGCACAGAAAAAAAACGAGCTGCAGACCGAGAAGGCATCTTTTTCAGTACTGGCGTAGAATACTTGGAGTCATCGGCCAGTATGTCAATTTGCTCGATGTAGACGCGGGGGTCCTCGTCGTCGTCAGTGGTGACTGTATACCAGCTCGTGGATGATGCAGAGGATAATGAGAGGGAATATCGCGGGCGGTGTCTGAGCATGGGGGCAGGAGTGTCGGTATACTTAGGCTACTTGACTTCATGGAGGTCATGAAAAGCGATGGGCGTGTGCTGCTAGTTGCACTCGAGAGCGGCGGTGACGCGCTGTCGAGGCTTTCGCGTTCGTTGCTGCAGTAGACGCGACCATCCACCGGCCTGTTGTTCTGCGCTGAATGCACCGGCCTGATCTGCTCGTCCCAGACCCAAATTACTCCCTTTTCGTGGGCAAACTTCTCGTCTAAGCTGCTGTCGCCGCCGCCGTCGACGGCTTCCTTGATGATCGCGCCCTCCTCCGAGTCGTGGAGGGCAGGCCACATGCGCTCGGTGAAAGTGAGCTTCTGGTTCGTCGCGATCGCCTTCGCAAGATGGCCCTCGTGGCGTGCGTGCAGTGTCCGCCGGAACGAGCGCGCGAGGAACGATACAGAACCCGCAGCGGCCGCTCGTGCGGGATCATCACCGGTGCCTCTTCCACATCCAGATTCATCGTCTACGCGCTCAGGAGCTGCGTAACACGCTCAGCCGTTGGCTCTCTGTGTGAATATAGTCAGTAGCGTCGAGGCAGAACAGTCAACTAGCTCACTTTGTACACGCGTCCAAGAATTTTTCTTCCTGGCTTCGGGTCTTGTACAGCCTGCGCAGCGCATCGTCTCGCGTCGCACTGAGAATGGACACTCCTGCTGGGGTCGCCCTTCATATTGTTCAGGCAGCTGCAGAGACCCGTAAGCACGTAAACAAGCGCCTTTGGGAGCTTATTGATGAGATATTCTGCTATCGTGGATAGACACGACGCTGTGGCAGAGCGAAGTCGCCGTCCCAATCGCCAAGTCTGGGGAAATAGTCAGATCTATTTGAGCCAGAGCCACATATGTTCATTTACCTCAACACAGCGGCGTCGACGATACCGCGCAAGACCTCCTTCTCGCCTCCCGCAGCCACGAAGTCGCTGTGCACCGTAACTTCATACTTCATTCGGAGCAAGCCAGTATGACAGTGTCGCAAATTTTTTCCCAAAATCATGATGCATCAATAGCGACCTTTTCTCTCACAAGCCTCGTTAGGGCATCGTGATGTGCATCACGACACGAAATTTGCCTCATGAGGGCCTCACGATTCCCTCGTGAGGCGGTTTTGATACAATTTTGATGCAATCTTGGGGCGTCTCCCTCATGAGGGTAAACGGAAATTTGCGACATGGCACACCTCCCATACGTCGCCCTTCCCGCTTTGTCTGCATCTCTGGGTGTCGTTGGCGGGTTTCTGGCCAATGGAGAAGTCCTGCCGGATCATCTCGAGCAGGATGGCGTGAAATCTCAGAGTCGATCGCCGCGGTATGTGCAGCAAGAGAGAAGCGAACATTTTGCGAAACTGTCTCACGCACGAGCGCAACGACCTGGTTGACGACGAAGTCGCTGAAGCGATCAAGTATGAGGACGTAGAGGAACCTGAAAATGAGGTCGTTATGCCATTTCTCGTGTGCGATCTCGCTCTCTTCCCATGGCAAGCCGGCTGTGCAGACAGGCGTCAGCATCTAAAATAGCGATAGCCAGGAGAGAAGCCTATCTTCCAAGCTGCGTCAGAACCACTAGGGACCGCATAAGTGTAAGCAGAGGCTACAACGCAAGTCTTACTGTGACATCTACGAATATGTCGGGAATCCCGGGATGTCCAGGTCCGAATCGTAGTGAGCGTCCAGAGAACTCCCACGGAGGCGCCTAGCGGCTCTGCGGCGAGCTGTGTGCGCTTGTTCCATTTGAGCCGAGGAGATTGGCGTGCGAAACGAGACATGGGACTCGGAATGCACGATCTGGGA